TCTCTCTCTCTCTCTCTCTCTGTCCGTCTATCTGTCTATCTTTTATTCATTATCGGTCATTCTAATGATTGACAGAATGCAAACACGTATTAGCAAACAAAGTGCAAAAATGCTATGTATAAACAAGAGTGGACTAAAATGAGTCTTATTCAGTAACTATATGCGTTTCAAAGACTACGAGAGAGAAACTCAGAGAAACTCCGTGTACAAAACGTAAACAACTGACTGAGGTCATCATAAATGGCAGGTAGTCTCGCGACAGTCACATGTTTTTATCTCTCTTTAAAGATTCCTAAAAATGTATTTTTGAAGTCCAAGCCTTTTAGTAAATGCTAGACAAATACAAAAATCTACTTCTATGAAACTTTATCAAAGTTTGCACTAAAAATTAAGAACTATAGAGTGAATATTTGAACGTAAAGTCTTACCTCCCTTGCAAGGAGGAGAAACAGGATGTTCTTCCTAAACACATAAAATAGAGGTTTAATAGATAAATTCAAAATATGTTGAACTTTTTAAACCCAAAAATGAAAGATTTTTTCGGTACTTACGATACGAAGGTCGTCTATTCCATGAAGAACTGCAGCGACATTCCCCTTGGACGCCATGTTTGTGTGTCTGTGTTTAGATGATTATTGTATGTCATGCAATATGACACGTCACGGGGTAAAAGTCACGCGTTCTTTTGATAAAAATTAAAATAGGTAATTACAACTAGGAAAAAAATTATCATACTACGATTTAACAATAAGAAAGATTTAACAAGCGAAGATGATCAAAAAAAGCAAAAATAAAATAAATATGTATTCCTTAATTGTACAAAATAATGTAACGCAAGGTCCTCACCCCAGTCCTACTCGTTCATGCTGAGTCATTTCCAAAATGGCGGCGCATTTTGGTGTTTGGGAGTTAAGATTCCCTTCTTCTCGAGCTGTAGACGAAGACGACGACGAAGAAGATGAAATAACAGAAGAAAAGGAACGACAAATATCTCCTTTGATCCTTTGGTCCCCGAAAATTACGGAAAGTTTAAAAGATTGTCAAGAAAATGTTGTAAAATGTTCAACTCTTGTTCTTGGATTTGACAAAGTTGCTTCAACTTTTTTGGAGGCGCATTTCCTTTGTGGAAGTAATAGTGAAATAATCGGTGCGGTGTCAAGAAAAGACAACGAAAAAGACTTTAGTTCTGTTGTTAAGTCGACGAATGTAGAGAAAGTTTCGTTTCTATACCGTTTGAAAAAGAATGACGATGTCATTTTCTGTAAGTGTCCTTCGCACGTGGAAGAAAATGTCGCATTTTTATGGTCGAGAAAGGTACGAAAAATGTCTTTTTTTTCTTGAGAAAGAGATTGAATTTTAATCGTTGAAATATCAATTTAAAAAAACATGTTCAAATGGATTTCTGTTCTGAAAAATTGAGAAATATGAACGATTCCCATTCTTTCACTTGTTTTATGTGAACAAACAAGGGAAAGAAAAGTGTAAAAGAGGGAGGGAGGGGTCAGTATGAATATTATCACTTAAGGGAGATAGGGTTGGGAAAATTTAGCTTGGTGACTGTGATTATCTGGGTTTGCACAAACCCCCTTTGATGAAGTTACCCATCCCAAAGCATGACTATAATTTGATGACCAACAACGTGTTGTTCTTCCAAAGGTTTTTGATAATGTGAGGCCTTCAAAAGTCATTATCCTATCATCAGCCCCAGCATGTGAGTACAGTACTTCAGATCCTTCAAATCTCAAGTCAGACTTTGTCAAGATGTTACACACAACAGCTTGGAACAAATCAAATGAGAAAACTGACATTGGATTTGTTGAAACGCCGAATACAATAAGAGGAGTTGCTGCTGCTGGTAAGGGCTTTCTTCAGATTCAGATGAATATTCATTTTCTAGATTGAGACAACTTCTACACTCTAACACCCCTTACCCTCCCTCTCACATACACCTGTTATATAAGTTTTAGGGCTTGAAAATATTCAACTTATAAACCAGCATACAGTTATTTCAAAAAGGTTGTTGTAGAATCAATACATCAACATTCCAAGACAAAAAAGACGTACAAATACAAAAATAAAATGAAATAAATCACTTTTATTTAAGTGTCTAGTCATTCTAGCGCTTTCGCACTAATTGGGGACACTTTTCGCTCACACGCATTAACACTACATTTAATATTGTATGCACACAACGCTCAACTCACATGTTGATTTTTACAAAGACATCAAATGTTCTTAACAAGAATAATTATGTAATAAGAAGCAGAAACACAAGTCATTCAAGTTATTCTTGTAGCTTGGAATGACCATTACCACTGAAGTTGTGAAGCTTGTAGAAACATGAAACCTTATTTTGCAGAGTACTTTAGTCTTAGACTTGCTCGACCTCTCTTCCTTGACTTAACATTAAATTTGCTGGTTGTGAACAAAGTGAGCATAACATTTTTGAAAAGTCCTCAGCATGCAAATCAAATTGTTCTTTTTTCATTTCAAGTTCTTAACCACTGCCAAGTCTACAATGTACCAGCAGCTCTGTACGTTTGTTACGCTGCGTCACTACACCTAGAGGCACAATCAGTAGAAACTTTCAGCATTCTGCTTACCTCCAAAGAATTCTCTGGTCTTAACAAGGYGAGGAAATACTTGCCAGTCATAATTTCAAACAACTCCAGATTTGAGTCCTCTTTGCTCAGCCTTTGTCCTGGTTGTGGGTAACTTATAATATTCAGCTATTCAACCAAAACTCATATTGTTCCATAGACTATTACTACGTGTAGTAATTCTTTACTATAAAATGGGCCGTAATACTGAGCAAAGGAGAACTTAAAATGAGAGTATTCTGAACAAGCAATTGTTTGTAGGTGGAAATTTTTTATGTTCTCGTGATGCTTGGGTGATGTTAGCTGCCAATGTACCGTCCCTCACCGCCTAGGTCATTGGTTTAATCCATCATGTGCGTAAGGTTGTCTAGTGGTCCTCTACTCTACTTCGAGAGTCTTTTCATGTTCCCTGATTTTAGGTCTTCTGCGTGTACCATAAACCAGCTATTGTTAGCTGAGTTCTATTGTATGACTTGGAGTCTTTTGTTTTTCTATTGAATTGATTAGACTGTGACCATTTCCTGTAGAAGGAGAGCCCTGATTTCCCCCTAAAGATCAACTTTGAAATTTCAATTCAAACTGAAATGGAATGCTTCGAGCCTCTTTGTCAAATTGTCAAGAGCATTAATCATGGGCGTCTGTCTCAGGAGACTAAAGAATCACTCCCTGCAAAATTGCTATAAGATCATTAAAGAAATAAATGACCTTTTTTCTCATACTAAAAGCTTACATATTTTTTTTCCTTGCAGTCACCAAAAGAAGAGACATCCAAGGTTCTAAAAGCTCTAGGGATTGGAAAGACACACGACAATTTATACGTATAGTCTCAATTGTAGGGGGAGGGGAGGGAGAGATTTTTGTCTCGAAAGTCTTGAGCTGTCTTTGGAAGTAAATAGTAAGAGCTAGTTTTGTTGATCTGAGAAAAGGCCAAAATGAATGAAAAAATTAAACAATAAACAGTAATCTATGGATATAATTTATTTATAACAGATTGTAGTTTAATTATTGCACGCTTCGGGAGAGATATTTTTTGTTTTTACATCGTGTTATTTAAAAAAAACATTGTTTAGATGAGAACTCTAGTAAAATTGAATTTACTGTGCCGACATGAGCGGGACCACTTAAGTAAAGCTGACCAATCAGATAACAGTAAACTAGACAGAAATTGAACTGATAACAGCGTTAGCCAATCAGATTATCACATTCTCATGCTCTTATAATATCAATGCACTATCTGATTGGCTCATTAAAAAATATCGAACTAAATGTCGCAATATGATTGGTTAATGATACTGGTTTATCAAAGTGGTCCCAGTTGCAGTATCTGCACAGTATCAATATTTTTATACTGTATACAAAATTACTATACACCACTCCCCTTCCCCTCCCCCCACAACACAAACAAAGCCCAGCTTTATTCTGCCTCCTTCGCATTGCACTTATTATTTACCATTCTGATATCTCATAGAAATAGGAAAATTGTATCAAATTTATTAGTCTATTCTTATTCTTTGAATCTTAGTTAATTTTAGTAATAAATAGTTGGTTCAGACCAAAGTGTAGTTAATTAAATAGATATTTTCCAAGATGTGTGAATGCTGTCGAAAGTATTCAAATGTGAGATTCCAAAATGAGGCATTTTTATGCAAGATCTTACGCATGCTATGGAAAATACACAAAAAATTCACCACTTGAAAATGGGATTGTGATATAAAAGTACTTGTGCATATTAGAAATAGGCTATTGTTGCATTTTTTTTGTTGAGCTTATAACTTGTAATGGTATTCATGTACTTAGTGATCAGCCGACAAAAGTTGATTGACACTCGGCTGACTGTTGGTCAATCAGCAGTCAACGATCGATTATTCGTTCACCAATCAACAAACAAATGGCTGTTTGAAACTAATTGTATGAGATAATTAATTGATAATTGATTAATCATAATTAATCCCTTACTATAACACACATTCTAGGATTTAAATTTATGTGGTATATCTAGATCAGAAAATCACACATTAAACAAACAGAACTTCAGTTGAATAAGACTTAATTCCAAATTCCAAATGACTATTGCAACATGATAATAATACCTGTTGTATCAGAATACTAGTATGGTTTCAATATTTAAAAACATTTACATTAAAAATAATAAATTAAAACCCTTAAAAACTACTACTAATAATTTAAAATTCTAAAATACTAATTTATAATTCTATATTTTTATACCATATTCTGAATTCACTTGAACCATAAAACAACATTTGACTCGAGTACTTGTGGCTAGACTCAAAGAATGGTTTACAGTCAACTTGCCCATGCCAACTCGCCCACGTATAAAATCATCAATCATGTGCTTGCAAACTCGCCCACATTTAGAATCACTTTTAAAAAATCCTAACAGTATGTTAAGACTAAATATTAAAGTAGTTTGGATTTACCAACCTCATAGGACATGGTTTCAAGTTTGATGACAAAAAACTTGAGATATTCAGCGTTTCAGATAATGGGACTTCACTGTATGTTATTCAAGTGAATTCAGAAAAATGTCTATTTGTACTTCCTTTGCGAAAGGATATAAATTAAGCATGCAATATACTACCAGGACTAGGAAGATGATACAACTGTGTTATCCATTTGTTGTTATTTGAAGTTTAGCAGCACTAGTTACAAAGAAAATGGAAAAGGTAAAGTTTAATATGATAGTGATGATTATGTTGAGGATAAAGATTTTCTGACGATTGTGATGATATTGATGGTGATGATGATTATGATGAAGATAATGAAGGTGATGATATTGATTGTGGTGGTAGTGATGATTGTAGTGATAGATGATCAGGATCATGATGTTGATGATGGTGGTGTAATCCAGTGAATTTGCCTGAGAATTCAGTGTGGTCATGTCAATGATAGTGATGATCATGATCATGGTGATGATAGTGATTGATGTGTTGGTTTGGTACTGGAGATGAATGATTAAAATAGAGATGGTGATGGTGATAATGAGTAACCCTAAAAAACATGGGAGGGTTCCATAAGTTAGGAAGCATGTGTGAGCATGTATGGATTGGGAGGGGAGGGAGGGTAGGGTGGGGCAATCTTTGTACCAAGTCTAGGAGGAATACCTACCCTTCACCTTGACGTTTGCAGTGAAGAGAAAGAAAGTTAAGGGTCGTTTACAGCTACCTTTACAAATGAATGGTCCATTAAATCATTGGCAGTGGGTCTTTCTCTTGGGTCATGCAGAAAGCATGAATGAAGAAAATCACGTCCTTCTTCGCTCAGAGTGTCAGGTATTGCAGGGATGGCTCCATCACCAACTTTAAACATTATGGCCCAGTTGTTGTCATATTCGTGCCATGGAGGCTGAAGAATAATAAGAACGTACCTTAATTTAAGAACAGAATGTTGATTAAGAATATGAGGATGGTGATGGTGATGTTGGAGAGAGTGGCATCTGATGATGAAAATGATAATACTGATGGTGATGATGATTATGTTGCTGATGATGATAATGATGTTGATGATGCTGGTGGTGGTGATGATGATGATAAATGATTATGATGATGATGATAATGATGGTTGTGATGATGATAATGATGGTGATGATGATGAAGATGATAAATGATTATGGTGATGGTGATGATAATACCAATCGTGATAGTGATAATGGTGATGATGATGATGATAAATGATTATGATGATGATGATAATGATGGTTGTGATGATGATAATGATGAACCATGATAACAAACTTCTTGTCCAGATATAACATCCTTTTTAGTTAGGAAGACACAAGGTTTTACTCAGTCATTCCTAAGTCCTGGATGCTGATCTTACTAAAAAAGATTATAGACTAACTTTCAACCAATTCAAGCCCTTCTCACAGCCAAATTTGATTAAACATATCTATGATTATACCTTTCCTGTGGCCATCTCAACCACAACACAGCCAGTGCTCCAGATATCTGCTGCTCTGCCATAGCCAGACCCCTTATCCATAGTGATGATCTCTGGTGCCATGTACGCTGAATGTAAAAAACAAGGTATCTGAGTAAAGTTGTTGGTTGGTTCTTTCCTGTTGTTGTTTCGATTGTTCTTTGGATTCTCTGGTTTTCCTTGGGTCCTTATCTATGGGGTACAAAAACTCATTCCAAAGGCCCATGTTATTTACTTTAAGGCTCTCCACACCTGGAGGCTGATAAGGCTAACACTCTTCAACCAAGAAAAACCAGTTGGTACAGTGCAAAAAAAAAGTTTTTTCACTTATCAGACAAAACATTCAACTTAGAGCTATAAAGTCGTTTCAAATCTGTACTTTGTCGCCCCAACTGCATACTTTGTGCTTGACCAGTAAAACCAGGGATTAAGTTAAAGGCTGGTCAGTCATTGAAATCAGCTACTCAGCTTGATTAGTCTAGCTATCCTGAGTAGCTATTACCAATACCTGTTACTGGTTAAAATGACCAGTAAGGCAAAGATTTGACTGGACAAGTTCCAATTCTGGCCATACATTGTCTGATTACTGGCCGTTATTTTTAGCCCTGTAACCAATGTACAGGAAGTGGTCACTTTGATAATAATACTTACCCACAGTACCCCTGACATTCATGACTTCACCATGCATGGTCTTTGATTGGTTCTTTAGTTTGATTGATGAGCCAAAGTCGCCGAGCTTGATTAGACCATTGGATGACAAAAATATGTTTGCACCTGTAGAAATGGGAATATGAAAAGATTACTTCCTGAACGCTGTATTAATGAACAGACCTCAACAAAAGCTGTTGTGATTGAGATTTCTATGGGGTGGCATGAGTGGTGAAGTGGTTTAGTGCTCGCCTCTCACCTCTGTGGTCCGGATTTGAGCCCCAGGCCAGGGTGGATCATATGTGAGTTGTGAGTGAGTTTGTTTAATGTGTTGTTATCTCCAATGCTACGAGGGTTTTCTCCTGGTTCTCCGGTTTCCTCCTTCCATAAAAATCAACATGCGAGTTGAGTGTATATCGTAAGTATAGAATGTAATGGTAGTGCGTGCGGAGGGAACCTCACGGAAGAGCCCTGTACTAAGAGTGATGTTTGTAAAATATATATATTAGTTGTTATTTATTTAAATACCTTTGACATCTCTGTGTATAATTCCTCTTTCATGCAGTACATTTACAGCGACCAGTATCTGCATAGTATATTGTCTTATCATTGACTCTGGTAATCCCAACTTGGCAATATCAGATATAGTACCGTCAGCACAATACTCCATGAATATCAGCATCTCATCCTAGAGTACAACATACATGGTTTCAAGTGTCATATCCCATACCATTGAAAAGTAAAGCCAATCAGAATGCAGGAAAGCTGAAGTAATTTGTACCATCGTGTGATAGCATCCATGACAATAAAAATAAATAATCTTTTATTTGTTAGAGCAGGCCGATTATTCTGGCAGCTTTCACTTGACTCACTACCACTACATTTACTATTTTATGCACACAACCATCCACTCACATGCTTATTTTTATGGAGGGAGGAAAACCAGAGAACCTGGAGAAAAATCCTTGTTGCAGGAGGTAGGAACAATTAAATCTGGTCTAATCTGATTTAAATGAGAAAGAATGCAGCTATTTTCTCAGTGGAAAAAGCTCTTATCTTTGTGCCTTCTGTCATGGCTGCCATCATGTGATGGTGGAAAGCCTCAAGATGGTGAACAGGGTGGGTCAAGTGCTCAATAATCTGTTTAATTACCCTGTGTAGTTCAACACCGTAGTACTTGACCAGGCTATCATGCTGAATGCCTTCAAAATTCTTGATTTCATCAGCAAGATCTTTGATCTCACTGTGGTCATTAGGATGAAACCTGATCTAATAGAGTGAAATAAAAGAATTATTGAAAGAGCTATGAATAGTTGATGGCAAGAGAGCATTATCTCCATCACTCCACTATCATCATCTTCATTATTACCATCATTCAATATCATCATCTTCTTCACTACCACAGTCATCATAATAACTACTATTGATCAACACAACCAATATCATTATCACCATCATCACCACCATCATCATCACCACCACCACCACGACCAATATCACAATCACTATCATTATCACCATCATTATTATCATCATCATCATCACCATCACCTACATGACCGTCACAACCACTATCATTACCACCATCATTATCATCATCATCATCAGCACCATCATTCATTATGATAATCCCTATCACCTTCACTACCACAGTCATCATCAACATGACAACCACTATTGATCAGCAACACCACCACCCCCATCATTATTATCACTATCACCATCATTATCATCCTCACCATCCATAACTCAAGATAAGCACACAAAGTCATAATAGTCTAAACAGTCACACTGCTTCAATTTTACTTTAATTCAAAATACACTTGAAGTGGGTAGTCTGTGTCATACCTGTTTCATGGCCATCATGTCCCCAGAGTCCAGGTTAACACATGCATACACCTTTCCAAACTGCCCTTCACCAATCTTCATGCCTCTCTGCCACTTGAAGGGCACTCGTCGATTGGAAATATTGGCCAGTTCACTAGTTATATCTCTGTGTTTACTACTGACTTTGCCAATCACATGCTTCTCCACCAAGTAGCTGTTCCTTTCTTGTTCAAGTCTTCGGAGTGCATGGCGTACCTTTTCCATTTTTGGTGCCATGGAGTAATCCATGCTGTCTTTGTGATGGGGAACAGGTGAGGTTTTTGGCTTCTCCGATACAGCATCTTCTTCATCATGCTCAGAACCAAGACCTTCTGTCACGACAAGAGAAATGGCTTTAATTTCTAATAATAATCTTCTTCAAATGAAAATTTAAATTTTGTATAATTGATCAGCAATTGTGAAATGTGTAGTATTGCATAGTTCCAGAAAATATCCATACCTCCCCCACAGAGGGAATTGGAATTTTGAGTGCTGGGGAGGGTTTGAGGAGGGTATATTGTGTAGTTCCATAAAATATCCATACCTCCCCCACAGAGGGGGATTGGGATTTACAAGGGGTGGGGAGGGTCTGAGGAGGGTATATTGTGTAGTTCCAGAAAATATCCATACCTCCACCAAAGAGCAGGATTGGAATTTCCAAGGGGTGGGGAGGGTCTGAGGAGGGTATATTGTGTAGTTCTAGAAAATATCCATACCTCCCACAAAGAAACATTTGGGTTGAAAGTTTACCTGGACTTTTTGCATCTTCAGCGAGACTCTGAAAGTGAATGACTTTGTGCGGCTCAGACAGGTGGCGGTTATTTGTATTATTTTCACTATCTTCTGGCCTGGGCGATCTGTTAGCTGGCCAGCTGTATGGACGACGGAGAGAAGTACCAGAACTTTTGCCCAGGACTGGAGATGGACCAACGGCAGGGCTGTGAGGACGGTAGGCTGTAAACAATAATAAGAAAAATAAAATGAAATTTGATTCTCAAATGGAATCTTAAAAATTTAATGGACCTAATCCACCTAGGCACAATATTTTTCAGACCACATGTCATTCTCTTGCGAATAAGATTCTTTGTTAATCAAAGAAATGATACTCTAGAGAATGACATGATCTGAAATGGGATAAACACTGAATTAGGTCTATTTTTCTGTAGGAAAACCCCAAGATGCATTCTACATTTGGATGGAAGGATGGATTGATAAGTGGAGGAACAAGTTTTTTGATTAATAAAACTTGTTTTATCAAATACAGTCCTATTATTAGATATAAATTATATCTATGATCATATTTTTTCTGGGATTTTAATGAAGGTGAATCACTCCTCAAAAATTGCCCCTCCTTTCCCTCTTATACTACATGTAGGACATTGGACTGAATACTCGGGTAACTTACTGCGGTTTTTCATATTCTGCAAACTCGGTAGTTGCGAGATTTTTTTTGCTGCCGTCAATCAAAAATAATCAGTCGATACCTTTTATGTTCTTGTCTGGCGGCAGTGATAAACCAATTTCACAATAAGCCGTTGAAATGTCGGAGTTCGCAGAATATGGAAAATCGTATCACCATGATCTTCTCTTATTATTTCAAATCATAATGAAAACCCTAGGACAGAAAGAAAGAAAGCTTACCTGAGCTGGATGGGCCTCCATTAGCACTGCCGACTACATGTGAAATGCAGTCATTTATTTGCTTCTTTAGTTGCTGTGGAAGAAAATAATCATAATCAAGAGAATGGACAGAGTATGTACGGTACAGTTAGGACTAAGGCCTGTTGAAGGACGAAAAGTGCAAAAATTAACTACATTAAACCAAATAACAATTTTATCGAACCCTGAAACAACCTCTGGGCTGATCTAAGTCAGGGCATGGCTAACTCACA